AGATAGATAGATAGATAGATAGATAGATAGATAGATAGATAGATAGATAGATAGATAGATAGATAGATCTCAACTTTGTATTATAAGTCTATCATTACATTCTGTCTTGAGAGCCCTAAAATAATACTAGAAGCCATTAAACTACATTAATTTTTCAAGTAGTACAARTGTGTTGCAAAAATGACACCCATCAAACAAGTCTGAAATATTAAAACTAATTTTACATGTACTTAAATGGTGTAAGCAACAAAAATAACTTGGCTTATGAAAATCCCAAAGTAGTACAACAGTAAATACAAACTGATAAAAAAAAAACAGTTTCAATAAATTCCAACGAACATGTAAAAACTGAAATGCTTTTTTGTACAAGAGCTGGTAGGAACATCTGTATTTTACACCTTTAGATTTTTGGTCAAAAAGACCAGCCAACTGCAGGATGTTATTGTTTTCATCTCYATATGACAAATTATCACAGTGAATTTCTTTGACGYTATARTGCACARYATAACATCTCGCCCATCGAGATCCAACATGGACCCACTAGGGAATGTAAAATAATGACAAACAGGGTAATTATGGTGGTACATCAGTGTAGTTATTAAAGCACTGAAGGAAAGTTTGAGACTGATTATTATATTTTCCAGACTATAAAGTCACATCTTTTTTTTTCAGGAATTGTCTTGTACACTGGAGCGACTTATCTGTTTTTTTCCCTCCATGATTGCTTTTTTTTGACTGATGTGTTTAGCTCATACTGAATGACATGAACCAAAAGTAAAAATTACAATATGCAGAAAAAAATAAAATAAAACCTGCTCAGAAATTCATTAAATGTTTTGCCGACACAGAAAACATATGCAAATCATCACTGCTCTTCTTCTTCACTTGTCTGGTGCAATAAATAAGCCTCCACAACTCGTGTTTGTAAATGAAACTAACATTCTGCTACCCGGAAGTTCAGGTTTCCTCACATCTGAATATCTCTCTCAGGTTTCCTCACATCTGAATATCTCTCTCTCTCTCTCTCTCTCACTCTCTCTCTCTCTCTCTCTCTCTNACACACACACACACACACACACACACACACACACACACACACACAAAAAGACGACTGAAAGAAGCATTACAGACAGAGCAACAGCAGTGTTGTGTTTGTGGAAAAACAGATCATGAAACCTGCCTTTTAACGCCTAAATAATCTTCTTACCGTCTAGGAAGTTGAAATTGAGAAAAAACTCGTCGTAGCATGATTCTGGCATGAAATATGTCAGTAAAAGTCCCTTTAAAGGGTCCATAAAGGACGATCCTTTCAAGATATCTGCTTTTTCTGCCATTTTGACTGAATGTGTGTTCCTGATAAACTGTCCCACCAGTTCCGGTGACATAACAAAAGTTCCGGTAAGTGGGTGATGAGCACGCAGCGCCACCTCCTGTTCTGAAACGGATCTTCACGCTGAAAATTAACCCCAACAAACAAAAATACAGCATAAAATGTAACCTTCAGTCATGTCTCATGTCTCACTACTACAGAAGACCTCCAACTCCTCTTGATGTGTTTATGCTCCTCTTAGTGTTTCTTTTCTACTTGCCATGTTTCACACTTTTCATTTTACTTTAGCAAGAAAGTGTTCAAAAACTGGACGACTGCACAGAAAATCAAGTTAAAAAGGTTTATTTTTCAGTTCTAAAAACTCCATTTCACCCAGCACCTGTGTGTGTTTGACTCTGAGTCTAATCAGTACCAAAACGTACCAACAATGGCTTTTTTAACTCCTTCTGTTTGCGCTAAAGTTCACAGTGTCCTTAACAAAACCCACAATATATTTTTAATAACTCTTTATTTTGTTTCTAAAACATTTGCCTGCTAGGGGCTTATAAACGAGCAGCTACATACAATGTAGTGTATAAAAGATCATGTCAATCGATTTACAGATTACTTAAATAAAATAGTTAGTACTATAGTTGATAAACAAAAATAGCTACAAAAAAATCCAAAAATGCACAAAAAAGTTCCTTGCAGAAGTGGGTAATGTTTGGCTTAGAATCTGGTCATTTCTTGTTGTGAAAGTGAAATTTTCCCAGGAAGAGCAGAAGTTGGGTGAAGTTCACGTCCAAAAATATGTCTGGCACTTTGGAGAAAATAGCAGACAGTTTTGTATGCATAGCTGATGTGCTGAATAAATCTCAACAAGTAGTTTGAGATCTTCATATTAATATTGTAGTGTTTTACAACAGCATTAATCACCAATATAAATTGTATGGCTAGGCTACATTAATACATTTAAATAATAATTTAATAATTCCAGTTCAAACAAACTGTCAACATAATTATGG